TGGGTCAAAAATGTCATTAAAATATACACAAGAAATATATGAAGTCTTTGTCTTACAATGTAAGGACAGTTTTGTAAAATGTGAACACATAGAGGGAAACATATAACGCATAAAGAAACTGAGGAGAAACAAATTATAAGGTGCAGTGAGATACAGAAAGTCAACAAACTGTTGAGAAATGTGTCTTGTACTCTGTGAAAAGGACTTTAAAAAAAAAAAGCAAAAATAAACATCAAGTTGATGTTAAAATGTGTGTTGACAGCATTATGTCGACTGCCTTGGGTCTGAGAAAGAACCCAAAAAATACAAATGCCCCTGCACACACCCACTGCACCTGTACAGGAAGAAGAGCAGATCTTGTTCTACATCAAAGACCTGACACAATATGTGAGCACGCAAACACAACACTGCTTTTCATTCTTCAGCCTTATATCTGTTATCATTATTATAAATATTAAAGTGAATCTGAGAGCTACAACTTTTAATATCAGCCTTACATCTATCATCATTTTTTTAAATATAAAGTGAATATTAGAGCTGCTCAGCTTTAACCTCTACAATGAACATTCTTAGTCATCCCTGTTTCATCATCACTACAGTTGTTAATGTAAATATTAGACTGATCAGTCTATTATCATACTGTGCTGTTACTGTTAATACTATTATTATTATGACTGACACTTTAGCTATAAATCAAACATATTCAATGTTGTTGTTGTTGCTTTGTTTGTCTCTATCCTTCTCCTTTCTGCATCTCCCTCTACTTTCCAAGCCCAACACAGTTTCAGCAGATGGCTGTTCAACATGTGTCTAGTTCTGCTCGGTGTTTAGTTTTTCCTTGCCCCCACTTTGCTCATGGTGGATTAATGTTGGTTCTTCAAAGATAATATAAAAAAGAGTAAGGTATTTGACCTGCTCAGTGTCTTGAGATATTATTTGTTATGAATTTGTGCTATACAAATGTAGATAGATTGATTGATTGATCTGAATCTCATTAACTTTTGAAAAATGCATTTATTCTGTGAAGTTTGTTTTCTGGTGTACCAGTTGCATAACTTCCTTTCTGTCACGGATAATGTGTACCCAGGTTTCCTGTTTTGTATGTTATGTAAACTCCCTTTTCAGATTTAGTGTGTACAGAGGATGTTTTTTTACATATAAGATGAGTTATGAGTGATGTGCAGTTTCTCAGCATGAGAGGAAAAGGGTGTGACCCTTTTTAAAAGACAACATGAAGTATTATGTGAATGCATGGGGCCTGTGTGATTGAGAGACAACAACTGAATCAGACAATTAGAGAGGCAGTTGTGTAAATCAATGTTTTGAATGTGTAAGCTCCTGACCCTCTTCTTGATGGACCTGGTTGATCACACACACACACACATATGCCCTCATGCATACACAAGACACACAGAGGCTGAACGGAGGTTTCCTGCCTCCTGGCTCCCAAGGCAGCTAATTACTGAGCCTTCCACACCAACAAAGGAAGGAGACTCTCTCCATTCAAACATATTAATCCCTCCATTTATAGGCTGCAGAAGAGGCCACTGCAGAGAAGACAAGAGGGAGATGGTTTCACCTTCTGCACCTGTGTGTTTGTTAGCAAAGGAGAAAAACAGACAGAATATGTAGCTGGAGTTATTGCTGCAGACGTTTATGATGTGAGACAGGAGGAGGGGGATGCAAATCTGTGTGTTAATTTACCGGGGAATGCTGCTACATTCCAAGAAAGTTTACCTACCTGCCTTTGTTGATGGAGCTGATGCCAATTCACATATACCATCTTATGATGTATTCTTGGTTACACTTGTTAACTCTTGCCAGACCAGTGGGAACAAAGGAGACCCCTTGTTAATGGGATGGCGACTGACAATTATTGAACAGATGGATGCTTTGCAGTTGGAAAAGATTGTAAAATGAACATTTGGTGGCTTATATGAATACTTCTAACGTATGCTTTGATTGGTAACCCTGCAGTTATTTTTCAAACTAAAGTGTCAAACTAAAACCCTCTTGGTGTCATTATTTACCATTACTTGTAAAAATACTCAAAAGAATAAGTGTAGCTCAGGTCACCACACCTTTCTGACATTAATCTGTTTAAAGAACTCATCTGGTTTCTGCCCCCCTCATAGCCTACCTCCTACCTCTAAAAGTCATATTTTCAGAAAATCTGGTGTTCATTTTCATTGCTATGCTGACGACACCCATCTCTATCTGCCCTCCAAGCCAAACTCCACCCTTCCACCATCTTCCCTCTCCAACTTGAAGTTCAAATCTGGTTCTCTCGAAACTTTCCCAAACCTTATATCAGTAAAACAGATATTCTACTTGTTGGTTCCAAATCCACTTTGGCCATATTGGACAGTATCTCACTTGGCACCTCCATAGTTCCTCTCTCCTCCCCAAATCATGAGTCTGGGTGTCATCCTCAACAGCACACTATCTTTCAAAGCACACATCTATAATATAACTCTACATATTTACACCTCGAGCAGTCTCTCTTAACAAAAATCATCGCCATTCCTGTCAATGCCTTTGTTGCCCTTGATTAACTCTTTACTCTCTGGTCTTCCTCTTAAGCCTCTCCATAAACTTCAACTGGTTCAGAACTCAGCTCTTTGACAAGGATTCTGCCTTTTACCTTCAAGACTCTTCTAAACGGTACCGCTCCGATCTCCTTCATATCCACACACTTACCATTTCCCCATGCTCCTTCATACTTCTCACTAAACCTTCTATCTGCTTAACCTATTGGGTCTTGAGCTGTCTCCTGTGCAGCCCCCAGTCCCTGAAACTCTCTCCCTACTTTCAAATCCTGCCAAAAACACAAACTTTTGTTTAAATTTCTTATGGTGACCATGGCATTTTCTCCTATTTTTAAGTTGCCCTTTTATTACATATTATAGGTTACTATATGTTGCTGTTTTTTATTGTTGTGGTTTCTGTAAGGTGAGCTTAAGTGACCCTTACTAATAACCATAATAATACAGTTTATTTATTCGCTAATCTGCTTCTATGTCTGAAGAAACTTCCTAACAGCTTGCTAGAAGAAGAGAGTAGTGTACATGTCTTTTCTGCACATTAGAGCGACTTAGGTGAACATTATAAGGACAGTAAAATGTTTAGGAACCATTCACAAGCAAGACTTGATTATACACTCTTTTGTGGAGTCATTAATTAATTATAACTGTATAAAGAAATGGACATAACCTTACATCACTGTTGCTGACATCTTCACGGGATGTTTATGTGACACCCTAAAGCTCTTTATGCTTTCTTTCAGGTCAGATATAATCCTATTTCTTCACAACATTGCATGCCTTTGTCCTCGCTTGACATGTGGAGTAAGTGATTTTGCTGGAGTTATTTTTAGTGCCACCTACTGAAATGAATTCGTAGCACAACAGAGCGGGGAGCACAACTGTAGTGCTTCACAAGTGCCGTATGTGTAGACTCATAACAGCACTCTAGGTAGGTTAGTGGGATAAAACACCATTCACTTGACTTCCTCTACTCCCACTGAAAAGAGAAAGAAATCTGTTTCAGCCGATTGGAAGTGTGGAGAGAAGAAGAGGAGTTAAAGACGGACTGGGTGTGTGTGTGTGTGTGTGTGTGTGTGTGTGTGTGTGTGTGTGTGTGTGTGTGTGTGTGTGTGTGTGTGTGTGTGTGTGTGTGTGTGTGTGTGTAAATGTATCTACAATAAAAGAGATCTGTTTTGACTAGATTCCACAACTTAGTCTTAGTCTGTCAGACCTGTGACATTTAATCTCACTAAGACCTCATTTACTCTGTTTACTGGGTAACAACATTCCTAAGTTTAACAACAAGCCTGCTCCACAAGCTCTCAGAGTCAACCAGCGTGTCCCCATCCAAGCAAACAAACTGCACCCCTATAAGAAAAACAAGAAGCAAATGTTCCACCCTATTATAACCTGTTAGATCTATTGTTAATGCTTCAAGATTCAGACATCCTCAGGTGTTAGTAGGAAGTACTTCTAGTATTTTGTGGCACTTTTTTCCATCAAAGGACAGGTTTCATAATAGGAATATTTGCTATTCAAATCTAAGGGAACTATGTATACCTTTCTTACTGCCGGCAGCTATCTTACTTCCTGGCTGCACAGCCAAGGCAGTGTGTAATATTAACACTCTATGACACAGTGCGGCTTTGTTTTGACTACAGATCTCTCTGTTCTATAACAATGAAAATGTAGAAAGCCTACAGTCATAATATGTTATCCATCCACATACAAGTACACAATCAGTACATGTAACCTCTTATACAAAAATGAGTCTTGAAATAATTGAATATATTTTAAAATAGGCTATATATTTTAAAATATTAATATCCTATTATCCTATTATAATTGTTGGAGCTAAGAAAATGTACCAACCAAATAAAAAAAATTATATGAAACTTTTTGATTAGAAATTAATGATTTGAGTCACATTAAGCCAAATATAGCCTAATAAATAGATTAAGATGTCAGTTTCTCAGATGTGAAGAGAATACGTTATTCTTTGACATGAATAGGATAAGTGGATGGGTTTGGACGTATTTCCAATGACACACGTTTTCATTGTCATGTTAAGACAATTAAAATAAAATATAAGCCTATATTTCTTTGGTTCCACAAATGCATCAGGCTACATGTAACAGGGCATGGAGTTCAACAGTAAAATGAGAAAAAAAAATGAACAGGTGAATATTCCTTTTTAATACACGACACAAATTACACAAACTAAGGGGGACCATCTGCTCGACATATCAGTTATTATTGACACATCTATCGAAAAGCATAACATTTATGTCCACCAGCTTTTAGGAGGTGTTGATGTGTATTCGACTCCCCCTGCCCGACAAAGAGCACCGGTGTTCTAACACCAAATCAGACAGTCCGGATCCGGACTCAGCCAGCTCTGTGTGGTAAACCGTGATCCGCTCCGGGTTTTCCAGCAGTCCACAATCGCTCCAGCTGAGGTGACTGGCGGACTTGTTTACTGGAGAGACTAGCAGAAAGGAGAGACGGAAAGAGGGGGAACCTGAGGGAGAGCTAAACGGAACGGGAATCCAAGTTTTACACACTTGACCCGTCTTTTTAGGCTCATTTTGTTCGTTTACCTATTTTTTTGACCAGAGAAGACGGAATACTGACTTTCTGTATGCGTGTGGTTGTTATCTTTTATGTTTTGACACTACTGCCGACATTGGGAACCTCGTTGTTTTGGATTAGCTAGCTAACGTTAGCTGTTTTTTCCCCCATCGGCTAACGTTAATCTGAGAAAAAGAAACGGGCGGCGTGGTGGAGAGTTTCCTCACTTCAAAGCAAAACGTGCGGGGTTTCAACGGAGCCGCTTGTTGTTGTTTTTTTGTCGTTTTCCTCTCACCTTGGATGGGTCAAGAAGCGGAGTTCACCTGCCAAGTTTTCCCCCTTCTTTTGTTTTCTTTCTCCCGTTTTTCGTCGTTTTACGAGCGTTCATTCGTTTGCGGCGTGGTGGTCAACGGGGGTGAAGGAGTTCAGAGGAAGGTCGTAGTAGAGGGAAAGCTTGTGTGTCGCCGCACGTTTTTCCTGCACGTAGCTGCTTCGGAGGAGTTTCCTGGGATGTGCCCCCCATCTATCTTAAAAAGGGCGAGCTTCTGAGGAGATACCACCAAAACTCGGGGGATTTATGAAGACCTGTGGACTTCAAAGGGGAAAGCGCAAACCCTGCCAACCCCCTTATTGGCTCTACACTACGCGATATCCATTATAACTTCAGCGTCTGTCTGCGGGAGGAAATTGTTTTTAACGCAGTTCACAAGAAAAATACTTATTAGCAATTGTTTTAAAGCGATTATCCCCTCGTTGAATCGGCGCATTACATAGAAATGAGCCCGGGGCCAATGGACCTCCACACTAGCCCCATGCGTGTGGGACATGTATAATTACACTGTTATTTCCCTCTTGATTCAGCGGAGCACCAAAATTAAACAGATGAACGTGGACTGTCGCCTTCACTTATGGAAAATGAAGATCTTCACTCGCACATGTGTTGCCAGAACCCAAGATCACGTTATTTAGTGGTCTGCATTTTTTCCAGGGCTCACATAGGCTACATCACAAACTTGGCTGGGAGGATACTCATACATTTTTTTACCAACTCCTCCCGAATCACGGGAGGCAATTTTTTAAACATTTTCTTTTAACACCTTTTGATATCCAAACGCCTTTCCGAAATAAACAGTTTGAATTGAACTGGGAACCTTCAAGAGGAGAGCACAACTTACCCTCAACTCAAAATGAGACGGTGGACGATAAAGCTGCGAGCACAAATTGTATTTTTTATCATCTGCACCTGCATTGTGTGCCAGTGTGGACTTATAAACGGAGAAAGTAAGTATTTCATTTTTTCCAAGTTGTTTTGCGATGTTTCTGTATATTTTTCATGGTTCAGATGACCTCACATAGCTCCAGCAAACACACTTTATTTAAAAACAACAATTATTTATTTATTTGTTTGTTTGTTTACATCTCATTAACACAACACTTAAGTGTAGCCTGTGTATTGTCTAAGCATTAAAGTGGAATGAGTTGACAGTTTAAAAAAACAACAACATTAAAAAACAGTTATTACGATAATATTATTTTTGTGTTATTAATGATTAAACAGAAAACATGTAAAAGGGTTAGGGTTAGAAAAAGTTAGGCTTAATTTTTATACTCAGGTGGATATTATTGGGGTAATAGAGCTGTCGATATAGTTTTTTTTGTTTTTATTTGATACATTTAAAATTTACAATTTTAGTCACGGGACCGTATCCCTTGCTCATGCGCATGGGTGATATTTCATTTAGGGTCTAATGAAGGGACTCATTTCATTCGTCTTGTGAATGCTTTACGTGGCCGCGCGCATATAATTGATATTCCTTAGTGACGTTGTCGTGTAATTTCTACGCCCCCTCGCGATGACTCCTAAAGGTACATATTTTAGCGGCCTGTGTCGGAAGAACCAGCCTCACGGCCAGATTAGTCGCTGTAACTGGACGAGTGTGGTCTGCTGCAGCGAGTCTAAACTGGGAGTAGCAGGATTGGCCCTGTGTGAGCGGCTATAGGCCTCTCATTGCGACACACACACACACACACACACACACACACACCCACCACAAACAATACTCACGCGCGCGCACGTAGGGTGCTGCTGCAGCAGGAACGTAAACAAATTAGCCGCCGACGCTTAGAAGTCTCTCTATAGGTGTTGGATTAGCCTACATTGCATTTAGCTCAAGATCGGACCAAAGTGTGGGCGTCTTCCTCCCCGGAACATGCCTACCCTGCATGGTGTTTTATTTATTTTTATAATTTTTTTTTTATAAATAAATGGAATCTGATGTTGTTTTAAAAATCTAAATAATCTAAGCAGTTTGTGGACATACAGAGAGCAGTCGATAGAGATCCCCCTTTAAACCACTCAATGGCCTCGTCTTTACAGCAGTGATCAATGAAAAGGCAGTATGTTGTTTTCTATAGATGAGGTTATTCAGGCTTCTGTTGCATTCAAGTAATCATACAATAAAATAAACTTTATTTTTTCTGACAGCTAAGCACTACCACATTCTGACCCTGAAAGATCTCTTATGAAGATACATTTGATATTAATCTTTATGGGACTACTAAAATACTTTCTAGTCGTAAAGTATCTAATTTTATATTAAAGTTTTAAGTCAGAATTCTTGCATTCACTTTTGTTACCATGGAATTTGACAGTATGAATAGTTAAATGTAGGAGGAAAGCTGACTTAGTTACTTAAAATAGATCACCCCAGTTGACCATGTGACAATCATAAGTTACTATAAGTGTTATCTTGATTTGAATGAATGAAAGTCTCAATGGAAACCATTCATTCTTAATAGAGAGTCTTGAATGAAAAGTCTATAATAAATAATGATTTGACTTGTTTATAAGTGGTTTAACATTTCGCCTATATTTCTTCTTCTGTTGTCGATCAATCAATTTTTTATGGTGATTTGCATGAGGTGCTTATTAGATGTTGAAGTCCACAAAGTGTTTCAATCTAGTGTTTTTGTTCAAAATATTGGTTAAGGATTATAAATCAACCAAATGAAACTATTATTAATATAGTGTTGACTGTTTCTCTATTAGTAAAGTTCTGGAAAATCAACTTTGAGTATATAAATTGTTCCAAGTGGCCATGTTCAAAGGAAATGTTCTCGCTACTTTACACAGGTCATGTATGCAGACAGAACAGAGGCCCATGAAAGGGGGTCTTATGAGAAAGGGCTGCTGGTACCCCTCCTTTCTCTTTTTTTTTTCTTTCTCTTCCTCTCCCTCTCTCTCTTAGGGAGTGGGGTACATGTCATTGGCTGTTTCTGGTTCCTGATTTACTCTATTCTCTGGGAAATGACCATATTTGGCACTCTTGAGATGTGTATGCCTCAGAGTAAGGGTGGGGGTGGGGGGGGGCAACAACAACCAAAATACTTAGACTATTTAATTCAGAATCCACACTCAGCCTGACATCTCCACCTCAGTCATGGAAAAGAGGAAGCTGTATTGATGAATAGACCACACTGTGGCTGTGTTCTGCTGACTGCATAGAGAATGTGAATGTGATAAAGCTGCTTTACAGGTTGTTAGTTGATTTTGATTGGTCTATTTGTCATAGTATTCAGCAAACGTTTTTCTGAAGTAACCGGTAAGCAGTCTCCCGATCTAAACTCGCGCAAAACAAGTTGTGCAACTGGGCGCCTTGCCCCCGTCGTGTTCCTCTCAGGCTTGTAAGCACAGATCTGTTGGAAAGGGTAGTGTGCATGTGTGTTTGCATGTGTTGTTATATATGCTTTACACTTACATATATACTACCATGACTGAGGCTATGTCCTATATTTAAGAATAAAAAGTGCATTTTGAACTTTTCTGATGGAGATATATGTTGGTCAGTAAAACTCAGAAGTAGAACTGTGTGAGTTTGTTTGTCCTCTTAGATACTCAGGCTCTCTTTAGTGAAGTGCACGGTGACATTTCCCGACAATGCTATGCATGCTGTGGAATGTGTTTGAAGTGGCCCACCATGTAGGTGCCTGTGTGTGTGTGTGTGTGTGTGTACAAGTATTTCAGTATGCACCCCAGCCACCCTGTGCTGTCTGCAGGATCTCATCTCTCAGCTCGTGACCTGCCCACTTCCGGGCAATGTATGTTTTCCGTGTGAGTGTGTGTGCATGTTTGTGTCCGGAGGAGGTGGTCATGCATGAGAACAGTGTGTACTAAGATAGCAGGCCCATAAGAGAGAGGGTTGCTTTTTAGCTGTAGGCTGTTTGCCCTGAGTGGCCCCCTTGACCAACTGACCCCAGTTTATGAAATGTACCAATTGCCTGATGTTTGGTGTTTTAATGAAATCAGCAAGAGCTAAAGAATGATCATGAGTCTTAAAAAATAAATGAATGAGCTTAAGGCGAAGCTTAAGCTTGTTTCGAACTTAAGACACAACACAACTTCTTATAGACAAAATCAAGATTTCATAGATTCTTCTCACCGTTTGAGGCATATGGTGTACATCACAATGAGGTCAAAGCAATTTCCTGTGGCTGTTCTGACGTTGACTGGTACATAAATACTTCAATAATAGTTATTCTGTCCATTGCTCGGATACATTTTTATCTAAGCAGCCTTTACTCTATGTTTACTAAGTTAATTGCAGAACGGTGGGTTTCACAATGCACCAACAGTGCTTATTGCAGATTGCCATTGTAAGTTTGGGTAGTCCATGTTCACAAGCTCAGAAGACAATGGCGGTCATGAACTAAGGCTCCAGCAGCTGTGTGCTACTTTTCCAGTGTTGGCCAAGAAGGCAATATGTACTGTTACGGTGCCTTTCCTGAATGCTTCCTCTTCTGCACTGATCTTTCCATGCATCCCTTTCTCTTAGCTTTTTCATTTTATGTGCAATGTTTCTGTGTGTCTGCAAGTAACAATACAAACCAAAGATGAAAACCCTTAGACTACACAATTCAGTTGTATTGTCTGACAAATAGATAGATACATGTCCCTTGATTGCTTGTTTAATCAGTTTAGGCTGCTTTCAACTGACACTTCAGTACAATTTCAACATTTTTTATTTATTTTTAAGATAGAGAATTATGTCAGGCTTTGACACTATCAGTTCTTATGGAATTGATTCTAAATCTGATAATGGAGGGATTCAGGCAACTCTGCACATTTACTCTGCACATTTAATTGAACTTTAATTTCAGCTGAGTGTCTCGGTCAGCATCATTTGGAGCCACTTGGAACAGTTTAATTTCCACTAATCTTAATTGCATCACAAAATGACATCAAGGTAAACATTGTAAACATGTCAAAGCTAGCAAACCACAAGTTTGATGTGGAAGAGGAAATAAAAAAGTAATGTTTTTGAAACGCTTACAAATTATTGCTGATGTTGTGTTTGTTGTTTTTTCGGAGACTGAGTGGCCATATTTAGTTTGAAATGTGAGGGAGCAGTTAGCCCTGGAGCTCTCAAAGATTCAGGTCTGAAGTGATTCAATCCAAGTTTGAAGAAATAAAGTGGTCAAAACAGCCAAATCGTTTCATTAGCTCTACCATGGTGCTTTCATATTTGTACAAAACTGCTAATAAGTTCTTGAAGATTTTGGGGTGAGCTGCATGTGTGAACACTCTGACTTTAACCGAAGTATTTCTGCCAGCCCCCTAGTGAATTTTCCGCGTGACGTTGGGGTGATCTGATGTGAGAAAACAGCAGAAAATACAATCAGGAGCAACAAACAAAATACAAACAAGTGCAGGACAGGGACTTAATCAGGTAAAAGTCGGATAACTTCTGAAGGATTACAATCCTTCCTTCATCGATGTCATCCACAGTGACTGATGCTGCTTCTGCTGAGAGGGTTCGCGTCTTATTTCACAGTTGTAAAAACGTTTCCTTTTGAAACTGATGTATGTCCTTAAAAACAAAAAAAGTGCAAGATAATGCTGAATGTTCCAGTCTACTCTGATCAGCCATATATTCTATGACAAGCACTAACTGTTTCTATTGAGACACACTTATCAACTGACCGCCCTGTGTGCTGGCTGCTCTCTTTAGCCTGTTAGCTCACCCACTGACGATCTATCTCCCTTCCTGCATTATAAATATACACCAATGATAATCCATACAGATCATTACAAAGAGGGGACTTTCTTAAACAGAATAATAATCTATGTGTTGTACGAAATGAAAGTATTGGTCAACATCAGCCATAGTGTCTTTTGCCCTTTTAGAGCAGCTTGCTTTAAACACGTGTGTCAATTAAAATAGCAGCGAAGCTGTCTGAGTATCTTAAATGCTCAGAGAAATATCTTTAAACAGAATATGGTA